TATTCAAACTGGTCTTCAGACTTCAAACAAGTCTTGAAAGAGTTGATATTGCCAGTTACACCAAAGTCAAGGTATGCTCTGGGGTCGTCCAGACAACTGTGGGGCTTCCTCTTGCCTTGTCTGGAAACTGTAACCATTTCCATTAAACACAGCTCTTAACCCCTCCAGTGTTGCCCACCCTGAGAATTCAGTGTTCCATTTGCAATTCCATAATTAAGTTGTCAAATAGCAGCACGGTCTCCTGGATAATCTGCATAAAATGTAAAATCTCATCTTGGCACCTTTCTGTTTGTTTGGAGTCAGAGCCCTGCAGCTACAGTTGGATGGGAGGTCGGTGACCACAGAGTAAATGGGGCCAAACAATACATTTGATAAGTGGCTTGTATGCACTTGGAAAGCAAATGTGCTGGCTGTTCCAGTTGGTGTCTCTCCGGAGGAAGAGCCCTTAGAAATTAAATTTTCAATTAATAGATTCTGATTTTTTTTTTTGTTTCTTTTGTATCTTGCCAGATTCACTGCCTACTCTGTAATGCTTTTAACTGTAGACTTAAATTCAGAATCTGTGTATTTAAAAGAAAAAAAAAAAGCCTTATAAAAATGTTTTTAAAAAGCAAGAAAATCTGGAATTACTTTAATAAGCATGTGGGAATTATTTTAATAAGCATATGTTGCTTTAGATTCATCTATCCCAGTTCCAAATCTCTCAAGCAGAATGAGATTATGAGTTCTGTTGATAGCTGCACAGCAAGGGGATAACTTCTCATTAGGCGTGGGTTTTCAGATCCAGAAAACGCTGTCTCATTGCCTGCTGCTGCCGATGGGCGCACACGCAGTCCTGGCACGCCCGGCTCAGTGGCTCCAGGGGAGGGGGTGCTGGGCTGGGGAGCGATTCCTTTCAGCAGTTTGCCCTTCAGAGGAGGAACATGAATTCTTGTTGACTCTATTTTTATTGGTTTGCTGAAAAGCTATCAATATTCAGTATTCAGCAGCAGAGATCAGTCACAAAAGACCACCGTGTCCTGGCAGCGCTGCTCACTCTGTGCGCCTTGACATGGCTCCGGCGCCAGCCCGCGCTGGCCCTCCTCCGGCGGGGAAGTTACTCATTAGCTATGCAAACGAACATGCAGGGATTCAAGTCTTAAGCTGTTTGGCAAGAGGATGTCAGAAAGAACTGCTTGTTTTCGTTAGGGCATGAAGATGAATGATCTGAGACAGTTGTCCCTTCTGCATTTTGAAGTTTTCATAAGGAGGTGGGGGGAGGGGGGCAGGAGGGAATTTCTGTTTATGTAGAGCAAGGTTTGATCCTGTTAATATTCTCCAAACAAAAACTTCCTGAACAAAGGATATTTACCAGGCACAAAAGCAGTCTGTCTTTCCTTTCCTTACCTGTCTTTCAAACATCATATACTATTTATACACTTCAATAGAATATGACCAAATTCCCCTTCTTTCATCCAGCAAGATGACTTTGTCAGCTCTTCATCTCCAGCATAAATTCATCAGTAAAGGACAAGGTTAAGATTTTGTGTGTGCAGAATAACTTGCAGTTGGGAAAATTAAAGAGAGAAGAGACACAAGTTAAGTAAAATCCTGTTTAAATCTGTCACAAAGAAAGACAGTAGAAGACAGGGAATGCTGATTTCTGCTTTGCATTGTTTTCTTTCCCTTGCATCTGTGCTTTGGGAATAGGTAGACTTGAGTTAGGCTTGTCTTGCCCATATTCCAGAATTACTGGCAAGCATTGCACAGGCCTAGTTCCAGATACTGGCAACCAACACCCAGAGAGACGTTTGGGCACGTGGGAGGTGTGGAACTGCACCTTTCAGAGACTCTCCAGAAACTAGGGTGTTATGCAGCAAGAGACTCAGTGGACAAGCCTGAGCAGCCAGAATTGAGACTTTAAATGAACGACAGTTAGATGGTTTGTCACTGCACCAATCAAGATGAGGCTTCCTTTTGGTATTATGTAGATCAGCTAAATGTTTGTGAGATATGAATTTGTTTACAAAGTGATAGGAATGAAACTCAAAAAAAAAAAAAAAAAGGAACCTTATTTTTCCCAGTGTCCCAACGTACGTAATAGACAAAAAGAGGTTGCTGCCAGGTGAGATGGGAACTTGGGTTCTCTGAATTGCCCATTGGAGGAGCTTCTCTTCAGCTGCTGATTATGTTACCTTATACAAGGGGAAATTTGTTTTTCAGGCACAGAGTTGAGATCCTTGCAAAATCTGAAAGCCAAGGTTGCTTATGTTGACTCCTGTTGTTAGGTTCGCCTGAGGCAGGATTGGCAACAAATCAGGACTGAATCCTCTGCTCAGAACAGAAAGAGGGTACCACAGTTGCCATGGGGTGGCAAATGTTCAGAAGCCATTATTGATGCTTGCCCTGTGTAGATCACCTACAATGTTGTCTTCGATCTAGAGCTTTTCTAAAAGGGTTTAAAGGTAAAACAATGCCTGTGCAAACTGCCTGCTGCCTTGGGAGTGATCCAATGGCATTTAAATGGTTCATGTGAGCTCTTTCTGAAGGTCACTGGGAGAGGAGAAGGCAGGAAAGGAATATCCCATTTGAGTGCCAGCTAATTCAGTCTGGTGATGATTCATGTTTCACATCCCAGGATGGCTTGATATTTCATGTATTTGTTACCTTTTATAGCAATGCAAAATATGTAGAATTCAATTGTACAAAATCACAATGACAGAACAATAGCTTAAAAAAATCAAAATATACCTCTCTCAGCCTTGTCAGCCTGGGCGTTCTCTTGAAAATACCAGTAAAAGCCATAACCCTGGGAAGCTCTGGTTTCTGCTTTAATGCTCTTTGAAAGCCTCATAAATAGGCCTTGTAGCAATTCCCAAAGATGGTAAATTCACTTTTTGCCAAACATAGTAAAAACAAGACTCTTGCTCTGTTCCTAATGAAATTAGCGGGGGTCTTGCAACTGACTCCAAGAGCAGCTAGGTTAAACCACTGGTTGTATGGCACAATAAGATGCAAATATCTTGAATTTAAGAATACACTGGGAGCAGAAATGAGCACCAGCTGTGTACTATGGATAGTGGTCAATCAGCCACCTAAAGAAAATTGTGAAAGATGGTAAGAAAAAACTTTTTTCACTCCTTGCTGCAACAGTCTAGAACAATGAGAGCTCTTACAGTAATTGGTATGTTGTGATTGCCTTCCTCTGAATCTTGCACTTTTTAAAGTTAACGATTGATAAATTTGTTAGACTGTCAGAGATTCGTCTCCTCTACATTCAAATGAAAATTTGTACTTCATTTATAAGTAAGGAAATGCATTAATGAGAAAAAGATTCAGAAATCTATGTATTATTTTCAAGATTAACAGTCTTTCCATTGTTTCTGTGTGGAGTAAAAAACACTCTCAAAAACTAAAGAAACATTCTTGCTTCATAGAATCATAGAATGGTTTGGGTTGGAAGGGACATTAAGGATTGTCTATTCCAACCCCCCTGCCATGGGCAGGGACACACCTTCCACTAGAGCAAGTTGCTCAAAGCCCCATCCAGCCTGGCCTTGGCTTCTGCAGTAAGAACTATGTTTGTATATCTGTCTGTGTGTATGTCCAGACATGCCATTTTTTATTCAGACTGCTGTCTTTTCTGTGTAGTCATTCACCGTCGAACCCTTCCAGGCTGATAACTTGTGTTGGCAGTGGCATGTGAACCACTTCATGACACTGCCGTGTGCTACCCTCCCATAAGGCAGTTAAACCTCTGATTTTTGTATTCCATTTGCCTGGTAAGGAGAAGCAGCCAAAGTTGGTCAGGGTTTGTGTTCGGAGGCCAGTGTTCCCCATAGTTTCAGATATGACTCTATTAAAAAAAAATAATAATAATCACCTTGTTGCACCAGCAATTGCTTTCACACTCACTTCTGTTGAACTGAAGTTTTCTGAAGAAAACAACTTAGCTTGGGTTTAAGCACATTAGGATATCCCATTGTGGTTAATGGTATGTTTTGATGTTTTTTCCTACTGAGGCCTTGAGCCTGGATGGATCCTCTGTGCAAACCATAAGATTTCCCCAACCACTTCTCTGCTGAATGATTTTCTTGCCCCAGTGCTCTGCAGTACAGACCTCCAATGTGTGCGACAGCATCGGTGTAGAACGTTGTCTCATCCTGCAGCGGCAGAGTGGAGTCCTGTCTACAACAACTCAGAGAAACAAATAGGAAACAGGATTTCCCCCAACAGGCATCTGATTTTTCAGAAACAAACTGTTATAACGGGATATGCAGCTGAGCAAAAAGCATAATTTGTACTAAATGCCCTCAGACTTGACAAACATGGCAAGTGGGACTTCAAGCTCCCTTCACTTGAGCATCAAGCTTTAGCTGATGTCCATTTTCTTTCAGTATTTACCAGAAATAATGGTAACTAGAGAAGTTGCTGTTTTGTGCAGAATGGGTTCTGGAACTGCCAGACCAAGAAACCTGACCCTGTTTGTTTGTTACTCACACTAAGAAGTTTACATGCTTTTCAGCTTCTGGGAACCCAGGAGAGGTTGTGTTTGCTCCTGCTGCAGCCCCAGTGAGATGCCCTGCCAGGAACTCAGCTCTTCAGATAAAACATCTCCCTCTTCACATGAGAGCATCCTTGAGTGAGAGCATTGCAGCGTATTTTAAAAGCTCTATCTGTCTGGAAATTTTCCAGACAGTCCCTTACCTACTGATGTCCTCCTCCTCCTCCTTCTCTCCTCCTCCCTTCTTAAATCTTCCCAAGCAGATCCAGATCATTAATATTTCAGTATCAGCTGTTCACAGGCATTGGCTACACTGCAGTGCACTTCATCAATAAGAGCCAGCCAGGGCTGTGAGGTTTGCCACACTGCCTTCATCCAGCGGAGGAGCAAGAGGAAAGGCAGAGGCTGGCAGAGAAGCTGAGTATCCGCCGGGTAAAGCTGCATATTGCAGTCCTGGTCTTTTTTGCTGCTCTCCCTCACTCAGATCAGCCAGGTAATACCCTAGCAAGCAACAAGAATGGATGTCTTTAAGAAAGGTTTCTCCATTGCTAAAGAAGGTGTGGTGGCTGCTGCAGAAAAGACCAAGCAGGGAGTGACAGAGGCTGCAGAGAAGACTAAAGAAGGGGTGATGTATGTAGGTAAGAGAGAACTATTTTCAGTCTACATTTGAGCATGAACTGCTGCAGAGATTGTCTCTGAGAAAGTCTGGGGAAATTATATTGTGGCTAAAGCTTGTGAGGTCTGGATAGCATCCTCAGTTCAGTCACAGAGTGGCTGTGTAAGCCTGGGGTGCCACATCCTCCCCGTGCCTCAGTTTCCCCAACTGCAAATTAGCCATAGAAATGGCCACGACTTCAGGGGAGGCAGAACTCATGCAGTGGTAAGGAGCAGATGCCCAGGTGGAAGGTTTCTGTTATGACTGTTCGCTGATTGTTTGCAGCATGAGTCAGCCACTCTCCCAGCATCCAAGCACTGCTGATCCCCACCTCACCTCTGCGCAGCCAGCAGCGTTATTAAGTGGAGATTTCAGGATGCATCTGTTTCCCCACAAACATACCATTTTATCCTGAAATCCTTCTCTTGTTCATGGACCTGTTTCATTCCCCATGCACACATTAGTCTTGCTTTACAAGAGACACCTGAATTCATTTTGCCCGAAGGAAAGGATCTGGAAATCAGCAGGTCTGATGTCCTGCTGGAGTCCTCTCTCACTGTTAGTGTGCTGTTTCAGAAACCTCCCCATTCAAGGTCGCCCTCAAAACATGCTGTCTCCACTGTCTAGCGCGTGCAATTGTATGTCTGGATGATTAGGTATTCCAGATACTGTAAAATCTATGAAGTCTTAGGTTCCCAAGACTGATTACCCTGATGCCAATTACTGCACCTTACACAGCTTTTCATGTTTGCTAGATGTGGGAGAGAGGGGGGTTTTAATAGCAAAGTTTACGTGCAGGCTCTTCCTTGCTATGGTGCTGCAACATCCACAGCTGTACATAGCTACTAAATTTAAAACAGCTATATTAACAAGACCTACGGATATGTATTTGTGCATTACAAATGAAATACAAGTCTTACGTGGAGCAGAGCTGGTAATGTCTTCATGCCAAAATTTTAAACACTCAACTATTGACATGCTGTAAATGAACTAATGTAACAGTTAATATTTCAAATTGAAGCTGACTCGCAAGAGAAAAGGTAAACAGCTTCCCTGTAAATAATTAAACTAACCACAGTAACTGAAACACCAGCCTGTGGAACGTCATGTCTAGGTGTCAAATTGTGGCAGCCCTACTGCTCTGTCTGCTTTCTGATTTGAGCAATGTCAGAGAAGATCGTTCCAAATTTTTATACGTAATTCCTCACATCTCTGTTCAGTCATGTTGTATGCCCCCATACTGTGACCTGGTTTTCATTTTCACGCAGCCATGAGATACAGAGTCTGCTCATGTGATTCTAACCTTTTCAGTAAAGTTTCCTAACAGTCTTCTTCAAACCCGAATCTCTGAATGAGGGTGAAATAAAGATCAGGGTGAAGATGAAGTTCTTTCTCCTTTTTTTGTTCTGGTTTGTTGGGGTTTTTGGTATACCACCAATTCCTGCCTTCTCATGCACTGGGTGGTGCTTTGCTTTGGGGCTGATTCAGTTCCTGTTGCACGCTGGGGGATGCTCAGCTCTTTGGGGAATGTTCCGTCTTTCACAGGCAGGACAAGTAAAGGCCGGATGCTGATTAGCTCAGAGAACTGATTTTTAAATAGAGACGGTGGAGGCCAGGTATATCAATTAAAACTGGAGTGATTAGTATGTTGTCTGTGCCATCTTTTCCAACTCTGTGCCACATGAAGGGTTAATCAGAGACCTGAACTGTTCCTTCCTTGCTCCTTCCTTTGCAGAGCCTTATGCTAGCAGCTTGCCTGGAGCATTATGTGATGCAACCTGGATTTTTGGATGCTAGGAGAAAATAACACTTGTATAAAAGCTTGAGGATCTTTTCAGAAACTCAGGAAAGAGGGGGGATCCCAAAGCCTAGGATGGATTAAGTGGTTCCCTAACTGTTATTCAGGTTTGTGTTGACTCATCACTAACTCTCCAAGGAGGATTCCAGATGTCTGGGCACAGCCGCCACATCTGCTGAGTCACTTGCTGCTGCCCCAGGGTGGATGGTGGCGTCAGGGCTCTGCGGCAATCTTGTCCCTTGGAGCCACCACTCAGGTCCAGTTCCCACAGCCCAGGACAGAGCCTGAGCTGCCTCCTCCTGTGCTCACACTGCAATGCAGCGCAGGGCTGGGCTGGCTCCAGAAGCTGCCATCACGGTCAGGAATGTGGGGTGCTCCTGCCCAAAAAAAGTGTGTGGTAGAGAAGAGGGTGCGTGGTAAGAGAGAGATGAATCCTGTAGCAAGGGCCACCTGTGTACTTGTTAAAATGACAGACTGCTCTCCAAATGGTAACAGCCTCTGGCTATACTGCAGTGGCTGTGGGTTCTTGCACGGTTTATGTGTATCCAGAAGCTGACTCCATGGGCTGCCTTCTTTATTTGGTTCAAGTAGGGGGATAAGAGATGCTGAAGTTAATTAATGAAGTTAATGCAAAGCTACATCAGAGTACTGAGTATAAGGTCACTAGTACTGTTTATCACAGTATCCTTCTCTATGATAAACCTTTTCCCACTGCGCAGCACTCCACCACCTGGGTTGCACCCTTGCAACACCAAAGCGCTTACAGCTGACTCACAGCAGTCAGAAGAGGCAGGATGCATGAACTTTTAATTCTGTGTTACACAAGCTGCAGGCAAGGACTAATGAGTGAAATGAGATTGAGCATCAGGTGATTGCTTTCTGATTCAACAGACGCAGGTTGCTGGCAAGGGTAGATGGGGAAGGTCAGATTTCATGTGGTGCATAATGGATGCTGAGCCTGAGTCATTGGGTGTGGTCGGGAGACTGGGTGAGGAAGATGAGGCAAGCTGTCCCCAAGCTGTGGCGATGGCATTTAGCACTGCCATCACATCTGTGGTGAAATGGATTCAGGTATTTTTCTTCAACCTGCATCCTTCCTTTCTGGAGTTATTTTCCATCAGAAAATATGGCACCCTCCCACTCCCCCTGCAAAAAAGTCAAGCCTAGATAGCCATCTTAAATCAAAAGTCTTGTAAAAAAACTATACCAAAGTACAGCTCTTTTCTCACTTAGCATGTTTACTGCAAAACTGAAATGTGTGCAAGGCTAGTACAGCAAATTATGTACTTTGCTTTCCTGACAACTGCTCTTTGACCGAAAAACAGCAGATAAGGACTAAGCTTGAACATCCATACATTCTGTATGTTGAATCAATATTGTGGCAGCCTTTTGTTGGAATGGCACTGGGAGGGAAACGGAAGCAGGATAGCGTGTGCGTTGAACTGTGCATTTGGCCCCTTCAGGAGCTTATCTTCATGGCTTGAGACTTGCTCTGCTCATTGCTGTGCTTCTGTGCACGTTTGTATACCATGTGCATCATTATTAAATCCAGTTTACAGCAGTGCATGCATGTCACATGCATCACTAGGAAATACATTTTACAGCAATAACAAGTATAAAGTACAAAGATTTAATCTCTTCAGATTTAACACAGTTTGTGAGGGTGGAGTGCAATGTTGAGGGCATGTTGTAGTAGAACAGCTTTGTTCTGCCCCTGCCAACCCTTACCAACACCAAAATAAATCAACAATTGAGAATTGTGTATTGGGCAGAACAGAGCTGGGCTGGTTCTGTTGCTATCAGGGCACTGCACCTGTTTTGCTTTTCAGGCTGTTGATGAGAATGAGGTGTGGTTTGTAGCTGATTTCTCCCACCACACCCGTGGATGCTCGAGTGCCTCTGGGGTTAAAGATCTGGCTGGCTCTGTATTTCTATCATTTTGACAGCTGGACATAAAAATCTTTGTGTTGTGTCAGTGTGGAAAACTTGAAAAGAGCCTGTATAGGTGCAGGTGATTTACAAAGTACAGTAAAATGGGACCAGTGGAACCTTTTGGCACTTGTTCATTAAACTTCCAGCAGAGATATATTTGGTTCTTTATTTTTCTAGTGTGAAACAGCATCTAGTTACTGCAGGGGCTGCCCATCCACCACATGATTTAACGTACGTGCTGCAGAACAGAAGGGATGTGTAGCAGGTCACTTCAAGCTTGGAGGAAAACCGCAGAGGTTAATTATTCCTTAAGGGCTATTTGTATTGCAAACTGAATGCCCTCACATCCTGTTAGCTTTTCTGCCTTGAGAACAGAGAGGTAAATTACAGTGTAAGCATACATATGGTATACTTTCGTAATTTGAGATAAAAACATCTGAATCCTCGGTATCACTGTGAGCAGGCACTTACAGCCTGGGCTGAGCCACCAAAGTAAGTAGGTACGCAGTAGGAGGGTGGTTGTTCGGTAAATTCAGTCTAAAGTTTCTCCAGAGTCTTTATTAGAGGTGTAGAATGAAGCTTTAAATGACCATTGCATCCAAGTATCCAAGGGTCACGAGTGGGACTCCACATCTTGGAAGACTGCAGTAGGTGAGATTTCACCAGGTCACTTGATGTACGTTCATTTTTACAATTAGCTTAACACTGATTTACCTCTGCTCAACTTTCTTTTCATTCTGGAAAGATTTCAGGGACAATTTTTCCTACTTAAGAATGCTATGATCAAGATTTTTCAGGTCTAGGCGTCTCCAGACAATTTGTGGTTGAAGTTATCCAGTTCTTGACACAAAGGTACTCATTGACTTCACTGGCGAAGGAGACTGGTCCCTTCTGCCAGCTCTATAAATGGCTTGTGTCTTAGCAGGAGGTGCCAGCAGCACCACGGCTCCCCTCCGCACATGGTAAGAACAGAAAGCCATCCATGTCCAGAAACCATAGGGTTCTTTGCCAGGTAGCACTGATGGACCGTGTGTTTCCTTTCACAGGTACCAAGACCAAGGAAGGTGTAGTGCAAAGTGTGACCTCAGGTAAGAGCACAGCCCTGGGAGGGATGTGGAAATCTGTCATGTGTTGCCAGACCTCTTGATAAGACCATCGTTCCTGCAGGTCTCTTGGGGGCACTGCTGGTCTGCGTGACCTTCCATCTGACGAAAGGAGGATGCTTGCCAGGAGTGATGGTTCAGGGTCTGGCATTTGCAGCCCACGTGAACAGGAGAAAATATTTAATCAGCAGAGCAGGTCAAAGAAATCTAACAAAAGTTACTGGGTAGACTCAGATGATTCACAGCAGTTTAGACATTTCACAATGCTGAGACTACTGCCCAGCATGCAGAGGGGATTTACTGGCATCAGTTCCTGTCAAGCCAAAACTGTGGTCTTTGGGAAATTCCTCAGGCAGTCACAGTCAGGGACCCTAAAGGGTCTTTCTGGGTATCCCAAACTCCAAGGCTGGGCACGGTGCTGAACTGCCTTGAAGAGAGGTGAATGGATCCTTTCCCTGGAGAATTTCATTACTAAATTACTTATTTTTTTTCCCTACCCAGGATTATTAAATCAAACAGAAGGTACCCAGAGAGAGGTCATACACAGTGCAATGAAAGATACCGTTTTTTGTACAATTGTCTCCTAGTATCTTCAAATGAATTTTTCATTCTCCAATTGCCCACAAAGACTGACAGGCTGCAGTGCAGCTCTCTGAACAGCATTTTGAGTCAGACAAAACCCTCACGTACATGATCTAAATTCAGATGTGATCTCATATAAAAAAATCCAAATAAAGACTGTATCAGGGCCAATTTATTCTCTTACCTCAGTGCAATTGTTTTATTGTCCCAGTGAATTTGGCAGCCATTTGGCAGTGCCTACCTCACTGACTTTCTGCTTTTCTTGAAATCTCAGTTGCTGAGAAGACCAAAGAGCAGGCCAATGTGGTGGGAGAAGCTGTAGTGGCCAGTGTGAACACAGTGGCAAACAAGACTGTAGAAGGAGCAGAGAACATTGCGGCCACTACAGGAATTGTAAAAAAGGTATGTTTGGTTTTTTGGTGATGTGCAGGACAAAAGAGTTGTCTTTGGATTGCATTTAAAATATCTGCAAACATTTACAGTTGATGGTTTTACCTATTCAATGAGTGGTTTTTATATAATGCTTAATATTATTGTATAATGCCTAATATAATCACAGAATCATGTGGTCTGGAAGTGACCACATGAGATCATCTAGAAAAACACCCATGGGGTCAATGAGAGCAGGTTGCCCAGGACCATGTCCAGTGGGTTTTGAATATCTTCCACGGATGGAGACTCCACAATATCCCTGGGCAGCCTGTACCAGTGTTCAATCACCCTCACAGGAAAAAAAAATAAGTGTTTTATTATGTTCAGATAGACAGATGAATGCGTTTGCCAGTGCCTCTTGTCCCATTGGTGGGCATGGCTGTCAAGAGTCCAGCTCCTCCTTTTCTTATGAATGTATAAAAGGGACTTGAGTAGAATCATGGCCAGGCTGCAGCGAGCATCTGGCTCGGGTCAGAGCTCTGGGATGGGCTGGGTGTGAAGGAACAGGGGCTCAGCGCATGCCCGCACCCTCAGCCAGTGCCCATGTGCGGCACAGCCTTGTCCCCGGTCCTGGCAGCCCTGCAGGCAGCAGCCATTTGGGCAGATGCCGGGTGCCAGCAGACACCATGACCCTCCTGCGCTGCTTTGTGCTGGTTTTGACAAAAGCCAAGCACTTGTTGATAAAGGCCGCATGACCCAAATTGTGCACGGATTAAGCTAGATTCAGACAAGACACCTTCAGTCCTCCAGCCTAATTTGGCAAACTGGGTTGCTTCCAGAGGGGATTAAGGGCCATGTGAAGAGCAGAACAGCTCCCTAGATGAAGGCAAAGTTGATCATTAGAGAAGATGCTTTCACTGGGTGGTAACAAGCAGCAACCATTTGTACAGTACACACGGCTAATATTTGACAGGTCTTTGGTAAGCCCGGCTGTGTTTCGCCTCCTCAGAGAGCAGTGGTCAGTAGCATTGATAGTGACATGAGCTCGATGAGTCACAGCAAACCCAGAATCAAAGCAAAGCAAGACTCACCAAAATTGTTTTAATTGTTCAGACAGTTGGCTGATGAATTTCCTGACCTGCATGCAAACACATTGTGATGTGAAACAAAACTTCTCCATGCCATATAAATCCTGAGAGAATAGCCTAACAAAAGAGGAGAACAGCAGCTACGAGTGACGCAAAATGTCCTCCTGAAAGCATGTGAAAAGGGCAGACACAGACGTTCTGCTAAGCCCTTGGGATAAGATTAATCTCTCTTCCCGCAGGGAACAGCAGTTAGGCTGCAGGAGTGGAACCAGTGATGCCTAACTCCGCAGGGCCAGAATACTCCCTTGTACCTTTTGACTGACCAGGCACAGGGTGGTTGGCCCAGGAGAGGTAGGAATTTGCTGACGGTAGGAATCTGTCCTGCAGATACCGAACTGTCTGGCCTTCTGGCAAAGACTGAGAAGCAGCAATCCTCTTTAAAAAGCCCTCCCTCAAAGACTGACAAGCTACAACTTACAGGGGGTAATTTCTGAGCTCAAACCAGCGGACCTTATCTGTTTCCATCCTTATGCAGGTAGTCCCTCAGGAAATCAGCAATTCCTTCACCCTAGTAATAGTTCAGGATTATGCAGACTGCAGGCAACATACGAAAGGGATGAGTTTTCCAGAGGGTTAAAGAATTAAGCATCTGAAATGTCATTCTGGCATCTTCTGTCAATGTCCACCTGCTTAAAGGGGGAATTGATAAAGAAGAAAAAAGAATGCGATGTGTCACACGCCTAAGGGCAGACTAAATGAAGAAGCCAGGAAACTGCCTTGGATACAATGTCATGGTGTCATGCCAAATAGCAGAGGTGGGCAGCAGAATGAAAACAGGAGGACAAAAGCAAGGCAAAAGGAGTCATAGGAGAAAAAAATTCAGCAAAAATGTTTCTGGGAAGAGAGGGGTCACCTACTCTGCTGGTTTAGTTCAGCTTCGATTAGGAGTGCAAATCTTGTAGTCATCCTCACTCACCACAGTTCAGTTGCATCCCCTAGATACCTTTTGGATAGCAATGACAGGGAAGATTGAGCTCCATATGCTCACCGCGTGCATCTCAACTGCTAACGGTTAATGGCCATGGGGCCAGAGCTGCTCTCGTGGCAAGGCTCTGAAAGGAGCAGAGGGGTTGTGCTGGGCTCTGGGCACCAGCTGTTTTCTCTCCAGATCTGCTTCTATTGTGCTGAACAACTGGCTAATGGAAATACAGCCAGAGGCTGCCAAGAGCAGCACCGGACACTGTAATGCCTGTGAGAGACCCGCTGGAGATACGCTAAGAAGAGTGATAAGGTATAGCAGTTAGATGTTTAAAAAATAAATACCTACTGTCAAAACCTTGCAATTCTGAAATTGTACACACACGTTCTAACCCCTGAAGTTTGAGGGAGCTGTTGCATCCAGTCCTGAGACTTGTTTGTGCTCCATCCCATCGTCCTCCTTTTTAATTGCAAAGAACAGTTGCTAACGTCTTACTTCTGTTTTCAACTATCCTCCAGTATTGCTCCCTGCTGACTTTAGAGAGGGGCTGGTCAAAGAACCAGGGGTCTGTGTGAATGCCTGGTGAGCACTGAGCAACACTATGGGATGACTTGAATCTGGGCTGTCGAGTGGCTTAGGAGGCACGTCCCCCGCTCAGATTCCCAGTATTAATATCAATTACGCAGAGATTGTTGACATTTAGTCTGTACGTTTGACATCTGGGATCAGTGGCAGACACACGCTAGCAAGGAATGGGGAACTCGAAGGATTCAGGATTAGGCTTTGCTCAGGGCAGCAGCCGCGGGGTGGCTGAGCTGTGTGGGTGTATCAGGTGCCGTCTTTGGCCGTGGGGAGTGTGTCGTGTTGGAAGAATTCAGCTCTCTGTGGAATATGGCAGGCATTGAAACGTGGACACACGTGGGGCAGTTGGCAGCCTGCTGCTCCTTGCTCTCCTCGGTGGGAGTGCTTGGGGCCAGGCAGAAGCAAACGGGGCTGAAGTAAGTCTACACCTACAGAACGGTGCCAAGCGCCAGCTGAGAGCCACCTCGAATAGTGTCAGCATCTCCTAGTAGGGCTTTGGCACTGGCCTGGTCCCTGCTGACTGAGTACAACAAAGTATTGACTCTTCTGGAAGAGTTTTTAAGTATTAAGTAAAAGATATGTAAGTTAAAAAACTATAAACCCTCCACAATTTTTCTGATGCCCAAAGGAATGAGATCCATCAGTAATGTATTTTGTCTGTGGCTCTGCACCCATCCCAGTCCCTGGGGTGGACATTAAGGGATTTCAGTGAGATAACCACCCACTAAATAGCACTGTCTTAGAAGAGGATTAATTCTTTGTCTGCATGACACAGCACAAAATTTGCTGCATTGCAGACACCGTGTGGCTGGGAACAAGTGCCTGTACATACACACAACCCCACACCCCACACACACACCCCCTCCCACCCTCACAAAATATCCCTCGGGGACTGGAGGAATTTCCCCAGTAGCTGATGCTTCCCTTTGCCCTCCACCCAGATCTTCCCTTTAGATCTATTCACCCTGTCAATTTTGATATGGTTTAGTTGTCAGTTCACGGCTCTGTCATTTTGAATTGGGTTTGATCTTTTTTTTGTTTCACTCCATTAATTATTAGAGCAGTTGTCAGTTGTGTGCAACCACTGGGCGCGTTCGTTGGATCACGTTGTTTCTCTCTGCGCTTGATCTAGCACACGTGTGCCGTACCCGTGCGACAGCTTATCTCTGTCGTAACCACTGCACATTTTGAATACAACGGTTGACATTCATGGCCTTGATTCTGTTCACTTAAACTCTGCGATGCCACTGATGCCAAGACAGTTGCACCAAAGGAATTAGAAGCAGAAGCTGGTGAGAGACCTCCCTGTTTAAATTAGCTTGGGCAGGGCGAATGCCACTAGGAGAGAGCAACCCAGGGCGTCTGAGAGGTCACCGAGGGCAGAGATGTTAGACAGGAGAACAGGGAAATCAACAGCCGAACTACCTTACAATTAAGTAGAATAAATAGTCTAATCTCTTTCCCCTTGTATTCAAGCTCCATCCTTTGTATTCGAGCTTCGCTGTCCTTCCCTGATGCAGTGATGCATCCCGGGGATATCCTTCAGCATCCCTGCAAAAGCAGCATGGCATGGAGTACTCTGCCTGCAGGCATTTTTTCTCTGCTTCCCTCTCATTCTCATTAGTGCATCCAGGCGTACATTTTTCACATGCAGAATAGCTGAGTTAGAGGCTCTGGTGAAGCCTTAAAGTCTACAAGACTCTGTGTGTGCTTCTCAGGTAAAGGCTTTGCCCCAGTGATCCTGTGGGATAATAATGTATTTGTACAAGCAGCCCCAGGTCTGGCTGTGAGCTGGGTGAAAACAAAGCTACCCCAAGAGTTCACCTGGATCTGTTGGGTAAGACAGGAATCCTGCACACCTGTCTGTCTGTCCTGTCAATGGGTCCACTCACTTTAATCACAAATCGACCTTTTAGTCAGAGCTGTCAGCATCCCTCCGGGTGCATTCAGCCCAAAATCCATCCAGGACAGCCCGTCCACAGAACCTGTCAGGTTGCCTGAGGGTTTACAAGGAAGCGGTTTGGGGATGCTGCCAAGGAGCATTGCTTTTGCTCCAATGCCCAAGGTCAAGAGCGCTACAGGAGGCTGAACCTTTCTCTGCCTTATGCAATTGATGTCCTGTTGCAGGCTGTTAAATTTGTAGCAGATAAGGTTGCCAGTGAACCTCTCTGGGTTTGCAGCCTTCAAATAATAATAAGAATAATAAGAAGAAAAGCAATCTTTCTTGCCACTGAATTTGTGGAGTTTTTGATGAGTAATGTCCCTGCATCCAACATTTAGACTCTGCATGGTTTCTCTGTTAGATAAGGAAGATAATCTTGATGAGGTGGTTTATCTCAGAATTTCTGGGGATGGCAAAAACCCCACTGGCCGATAACATAATATGGATAGAAATATAAATTCCATTTCATGTATGGACTCCCAGCGGAACATACAACACAGTCACTGAGCTGAAAAAGGGAATTTCATAGAACCTGTGAAACAGAGAAATCTGAAGAATCAAATTGTAGATTTCTCTGCAAAATCTGTCGACTTTTAAAATTTGTCTTTAAAAATATATTAAAATATCAGAACCCAGAAGCTTATAGTATGCTCTGTTTAGCACCTCTTAATATTGTTCAGGAAGATTTTTATAAATGGCAGGTCCTAATTTGTTGAGTTTTCATTGGTGATATCTGAATGCGTAACTGTGTTTCATAACCTTAGTGAAATATTTTATATATATAAATCCTCTACAGTAGATATATTCTATTTACAAATATATTTGTATATATATAAAATATTTAAAAACTTGTATTGCATTCCTGTGATGAATTCTAAGGTCTTGTGTTTCACTTAGCTATTACGTTAAACTACTTCCAGTTTTCTTCTCTAGCCAAAATGATTCAACCCTTGCTCCCAAAAACCAGAAAACAGCCCATAACAAACTAAATCAGTTTTTTTTTTTCTTTTTAAATACTTTTTCTAAAACAACACATGATTTCTAAGTGGGGCAAAAAAAATCTGCTAGCTATTTAAGAGCAGGAGGAGCATACTAATTACTTCGCAGTTGCAACATGCCTTTCCCTTAGAATGTTTTATCCGTTTGAATGAGGAGATGAACCCTGAAAGGAATGGCAAAGCTCTCGGTGTCCCCCCTTGCTTTTGTGCCCAGCATCACACTGGTACAGCTGGGGCTGGTACCCCAGAACTTCTGGCTCTTCATCCCAAGTGAAGACATCACATGGCTGTCCTCTGTGTATTGTTTTCCTGACTAGTCACGAAATCCCCAGCCAGCTGACGCCCAGCTGAAGAATGCAGCCCTTCCTCATCTCATGCTCGCCACTTGGGGCAGGGTGGGAAGCGTGTGAGAAAAAGGCTGTGAGGCGACATCCCTAACACAGCCTGACACCTCTTCATCCTGCAATTGTGCTTGTTCCTCCACCACAGCTTAGAAACACTCTCCAGAAACATGGTTGCTTCCCTTCCTAAAAATAGATGGATGAGTCACTTTTATCCTTCTGGAGCAGAGCCTTGGCAGACAGCACCATGTAAGGGATATAATAAGAAGCACAATAGCTGAACAGGGTTTCTTCAGCCCACCCATCGCTCTTGGATGCAGCATCCGGAGGATGGTCCTGAGGAAGGGATCCCCTTTTCCGTGGCTCTTTCCACATCTGGCAGAGCTGAGCTCCCTGCCCACAGGAAGAGTGGGTGGCCATGCCCTGGGGGAAGATGGGGGCTACTGCACTTGTCCTTCTGTTCCTAGGAGCTGTCCCCCAGTTCTCCTGGTGCAGCTCAGTGCCTCAGGCTGTCACCTTTGTTTCATCTTCACAATTTCACATGGCAGCTGGTAACCCCACCTGCAAAAAAGCTGTGAAGTACCTGCCTTGTCATTGACTTGCATTGCAGGAATCTCGTTTCTATTCTTTCCGCTTAACAGTCAAAAAAACTGCTTGTAGAGCATCAAAATACAATTTGAGACTGTTTACCTGCTTTCACCTAATGTGTGCTGTTAGGTTATAGGGTGTTGTCCTGCACCCTATAAATGCAAAGTGTTTTAAAGCCTCATGCTATCAAAATATTTAAATTCAAATGGTACGTCTTCCTTCTGTGCAAAATTGACTTTTCCTATAAGTAATATATGTGTCTCAGGTTCTTTCTATGCTGGCTCCAACTTCATATGGGAAAAGACAGTAAAAATTCAGGGATGTTGCTGGGCATATGTGCTCAAAGGGTACAGAGCAGCTTCGTAATTTTAGCAGAGTTCCCTGGTGATTTGGGGCTGGACTACAGAGGTCCTTCTATTTCTATGTCCTCCTGCTCTTTCTGACCATTCCACAAAGGTCCATTTCTGCTTTTTCTCCATCCCCTGTGCCCATCCAGTATGTTCAGGATTTTTGTCTTCCCTTCCCATGTGGAAAAATCACATGTGAAGTAATTGCCTGGTGATAATACAGCTTTTCTGTCTTCTTTGACTAGGAAGATAGCTGAAAGATGTGGAAAAGTAGCTAAAAGAGCCCAAAGTGCTTATGAAAATGCTTGGACTTCAAATACAAAGGAAAGCTTATCATTTGACAATGAAGTTTTTTTCTGAGGCATGACATTAATGCCACCACAATACTGTTATATCCAAAATTAGTATTAGTGAGTCTATGCAATGACTGCTTAGGAAAAGGCTAGGCATAATCTGTCCTACTCCAGGTGAATTTATTTGTTGCTCCCAAATTTCTTCACACTGAAGGAGTCAAAACTCCGTTTGGTCTCGGTGACAGGAAAGAAAACTTCAGCAAAAGAACTGATTTTTCCATATGAAAATATCTTAAAACAGGCTGTAAGAGATTGAATTGCTTTTACATAGATACCTGCTCTAACAAGCTGAACAAAAATTTGATTTGGGGCCAATATTTGCCATCCATTAAACCCGGTATCTTATTTGCCTGTGTAATGCTCATACCCATTTTGCGCAGTCTGCTCAAATAGTCTGTCTAAGATGAGGGCGATGACTCTGCAAGTGGCAGTAAGGACAGACATCTTGCTTGTGACTTGGCAGGAGGACCTGGCACCAGCACAGCCGCCCGAGCAGCCAGGGGTGGAGGGAGACGGGGACCTGGCAGTGAGCACCGGTGGCAGCGAAGAGGTAAGGGGGTGCCATGGCCCTGACTTCCCCATGGTCCTGGGGGCTCGAGACCACATGTGGGCTTTTCTGGGTGACTGGTTCTCCCCAGGATGATCTTCCCTTTGCTTTCTGTGGTTACAGACACGCTGTGCATGGAGCCTGTTAGTATTCCCGCTTTCATGAGTTATTTGACAAAAACCTGAGCTCATCAGTTCTCACTTTTACCATGTCTTTTTTTGGGACCAAGAATATGCTATGAGTGACAGATTGGACTGTAAACTGCTGCCTGATTTGGGCTGATTTTGGGGTGTAAACACACATATAATAGTTAATGCGTTCCTATGGTTTTATTGTCATGTGGAATAGCTTTTTCCTGGTTGCAGCTGTGCTTTAAAAGAGCTTTAGAGAAGAAATTAGATTTTTCTATACTTTAAAGTATATAATAGTCCTTTTAAATTTTGATCTATTCTACCTGCAATGTCCTTTTGAAGCCCTGGGTCAAACGTCAGTCTCTGGGCCAATTTCAGCTCTTGAACAAGAAAGGACAACCCCTTATTGACCAACATGGATGCTTTAAATGGACAAATTCTTCTCGCATGGTATTTCCTTTACAGTTTCCCCTGTAAGGCTGCCTACACCACAAGCACCATGGTGCTACCTGCACCCAAACTCTCCATTTTTCAGCTTCTCGGAAGCTCAGACTGTTTTCAAGGTGCCTGAAGCTCACAAAAGTCTCATCTTGCACCTGTCACCAGTGCCAGCCCAGCCTCACGTTAGTTCAACCGCAACCACAAGTGAAATCACATCCTCATTTCCCCCAGAGGTCTGAGTTGCAGTGGAAGTCTGCCTGGTTCCCAGAAGGAAGAGAAAATTTCTGCACCATATCTGGTCCTTAGGCAGTTGTTTATGGTTTTTTTATGTGGTGACTACTAGCATTGACTTTTTTCTCCTAATTTTATTTGTATCTGTTTTCCACTGGAAATATTTAACTGTTTTCCTGTCTTACTTCTCTCACAGGGTGAAAATGAAGGCAATTAATCAACTTCGGGACTTCTAGCTCAAAAGAGAGCATTCCAAGAGCATACATGGAAATATTAGCTGACACTGCAACAGGGAAATCCTGCTCTCCATAGACTAACTGCCTTCAGCTCTGTAGCCTTTCACTTGCCTCATAAACCACTGGTACAATATATGTAAGCCAGGCTCCTCTGATTGTAAGTCAAGTGCAGGCTTGTACCAGGTGCGTGTCTCCCTCCCCACCTCCCTCATGGCTTCCTGACCCGGTCACTCTGCGTGTTTTGGTTGGGCTCACTGGTCTGTGTCTCGCATCCATCTGTACTGGCACTTGGGATCTCTAGGTATCATGGAAATATTTTTTTTTAACTAATAAAAAAGTGTTTGAACAAGTTTTTTGTTTTGTCAGTTTTATTTGCACATTTTAGAGAGTGATCCTTCCAAAGTGAAGAACTCTTCCTGTAAAAGCATGGTATTAAAATACAATGATCTCAGGAGTGTAAGGGTCTTAGATCATGATGAAAAAGACAGGGAATCATGAAAATTGTATTTCTGAGGTCAGTAGCCTGGGTAGGCCAGCTTTCTGTCTCTTGGGGCTGAAAAAATAGAGTTCACTCTTGAAATACCCACCCAGGTTTAAGAGAGAGTGCGTGGGGGAAACTGGAAAAAAAAAAAAAAAAAAGGCTTTATAAGAGAACATGACAGCCACACTGAGCTTGGTTAGCATTTGTTCTTTGCTGTTTATTCTGCTCACACCAGAGCTTGGAGACTCTCCTCTGATGTCTTCCAGGTGTAACGAACGGCTCAAAGGTTATTAAAGAAATGTGATGGGCACTGACCTGTTGGGTCAGAATGGCATCACTGTGAGCAGGGACCGGCAGGATTCCTGTGAAACGTGTGAGTCCACAGCAGGTGCCAAAAGAGAATCACTGGTGCAGTAAAAGCACCAGGACTGGTACTGGCTACAGCGGCTGGTCAGTCTGAAGAGGAGCTGCTGAGTGAGAGCAGTAGAGACCTTGCACATTCACAAATGAAGAGAACAGGAAAATGTTGATGCAAGCTTGTTGCTGTGAATAATGAAGGATGAATTTAAAGCACATCATTAAGTACGGGGTCTAAAAATGGGTTCTTTTGTTCACCTGCAGGCAGAGTACCCACAAATCCTCAAGAAGCCAGTATAAACTGTAGAGATTTAAGCTGCTTCAAAATCAGACCGTTAATCTTTATTAAGCTGCATAATGATGATGACCATGGAAGGTATCACAGGTATTACATTGCTGTAGCATGGAAGGATCTAACAAGTGTGGTATTGGCCCCTCTCACGCATTAACAATACATGTAAAGCTTTGCCTTGCAGAAACCACAGGGCTTCCATCCAGAGTGGATGTTTGATCTCGACAAGGAATGGAAACAAAAAAGCCCTATCAGAGATAACAGAGTCCCTCAAAGGAAGTTATATCCCATATGTGCATGCTCTTTCCTGATGTCCTGCAAAACATTTGCAGAACCTGCCAATTAAACAGAATAGTTAAAACTGAGGTCAAGATAAGAGGGCATAAAGGGCTATGATACTCATGTCCAGCAGCAGGAGGCTGGAGCCTGTTCTTAGTGCTCTCTAGATAGAGACAGGGAAAAAAACCCCTCTGCTCCAAAGCTTTGTTTTATGGGGATACAAAAACAAATGTTCTGCTAGCCAGAGGGAAAGAAAAAAAACCTCGCTAGCTACAGCACAGATGAGAGGCAAGGACAGGTATCGGCTGGGCCAGGCTGCAACTCAAAGGAAGGAGTGAGCCACTCCCCAGATCCCTGTCTCTCAAGCAGACTTCACCCTAGTTCAAAAGGATGTAAACCAGGAGAGAATCACAATTGCTGAGCTAAGAGTGCCAGCACACTGCTACACGGCAGAGCTGTATAGCTGCTTAGGAGAGAGGCTCACAGCACTCCACATCGGTACGCTGTGCTACAGCATCTCCTTCCCTATGGGAAAAGGGGGATTAAACTGGTCTTTACACACTGTATCTAGAATTCTGAGCCTAAAAACACTGCTTGGCTCTTGCCTAATATATGGGCACCGAAAGTGTCTGTTTCCTAAAGATCTGGATCTGCGCTTGCCTGCTTCTCACATCACTGAGCACTGTTCCATGCCTGGGCTGGACGGGGCTCAGCACTTGTGGGCAGAGCTCGGAGGAGTGTGTATGCGTCTTGCAGAAGGCAATCACAAGCCTTAAACACAGAGGTCGGGACATGTGGTTTCCTCCCATGTGAGCATCCTGTGTCAGTGAGCGGGAACAGAGCAGCACTGTGCCCGTGCAATGGCTGGGTGAGACCTGGCTTCCTCCCATCCCCGCTCTGGACCGGCTGATGCCAGCTGGGTAGAGCAGAGGTGCCCGTATGAGTGGCCATGGGCAGAGGTAAGAAAGGTGAACACTTGGTTTCTCCTGAAGTAGCAGAGTCTGCCATAAGAGTCAAAGATTATCTGTTAATTATTCAATTAAACTTTGTTGTATGTCTGTTTGGTTCACTGCACAGAAAAGAAGTCTGTACTTTTAATGAGTATTCAGACAAGTATAATGAGAGGTGATGGAAGGAAAATGAAAAATGGAAGGATGGAGGAGATGCATCGGAAAACATCCTGCGGCAGAAGGAGATGCCGGGAATCCCCCTGCCCCAGGTAAAAGATGATGGAGACAAACACTAGCAAGACTATTTTTTGCTGACAGGCCGCGATCTGGGTGATCAAGAGTTTCTTTTACGCATTTCACCCTATGAATTATTTAAGCGGACCTTGTATGTATGACCTCTCTCTCTCTCAGAAACTGTTAGTTTAATCCCACAGCAGGGAGGCAGTGCTCAGTGCCCAGCGCGGCAGGGACAGAGTCCTTCCCCGGTGACATGCCTCTGGGGTGCCCACGCTCAGCCCTTCCTGGTGATCCTGCAAGCCAGGAGCAGCCGCTGCCAAATGTTTACCCATGCAAATGACCAACAAAATGCTGAAAAACATTTCTTTTCCCCTTGTAACAGCAAAACCTACTTACCATGTAAAACTGCAGCTAAGCTTTATTCTGTGGTTTGTTCTGATACAGTTCATAGCCCCCGAGAGCCCCCCCCCCCCGCCCCCATTACATTTTAGCCAAGGGAGTGCAGGGCCTGGTTTTTCAAAGGTGTTTGTCTGGGCTGCAGATGAGAAAGCCCTGGCTCCCTCCAGAATATCTCAGTGTCCGTTCCACTAATTTAAATGCAAATCAGGTAATAATACACTTCTTGAAATCCCACTTCATCTGAAAGTCCTGCTTTCCTGCATACATCATGCATGCCCTAAAACTGGACTCAAAGAGCACCCGATTAAAAACTTAAGGGCTGGGGGTTTTTAATACCATTGCCCATAAAAATATATACAATCACACATTCTCACCACTTCAAAACTCTTTTCTATATTGAAACATACCTTATTTTGACTGTTTCATTTATGCATTGAAACCCTACCAAATCGCAAGAAGATTCTCCATACTGTTAGTAGCAGATCAGAAAAAACTCAGATTAAAACTCAGCTTTCGAAACATCAGATAAAACCCTGCTTCCACAACCTTGCACAGCTCTGTTAGCAGCACAAAATTTCCCTTTCAAGCTTTGGCACTGCTTTTTTAGGCAGATTCTAGCACGGGAGGGAAGTGAGCTGGGTAGCTCTGCTTCACCTTTCCTCACCCAGGGAGCTCCAGGCAGGGTGGGCAGCATGGCCATGTGCCAAAGGGGAGAGCCATAGCACTTCTTCCTCCCAGTGTGCCTAGAAAAACAGACAAGCTCTCCTGTAGACATTGCCCTCTGCTTACATCCCAGCTCACATCCTCAGCTTTCCTAGGATGGAGTCCCCAGACCTAGGATGGGACCAGTTTTTTCTTTCCCACCCTGTACCAGATCTGAAGGTCGTGGTCAAGTATTTATCGTCTTTTTAGCCCTCATAATTTAAAGGCAAGACAATTTTTTTTTCTTTCCTAATACTCAGGCTGCAGGATATCATGAGATTCCACAACAATCCCAGTATTTAAGCATGGTTTTAGTCTTCAGTGATCCAGAAGAGAACAGAAACTGGACACTTCACTTAGACATTGCCTGAAGATTCAGAAACCAGAAGGTAAAGAATTCCATATCTACTGGCCTTATTTTCATCTCACACTTTGAAGCAGAGCTGGCTGATGATTTCTGGGCAATGTTGCCACTCATGAAAATAAAGAATCAGACCTACTTTTCTCCTGGAATTATATTTCCGTATTTGAACTGAAGGGCTAATTTAGCTTAATAAGAACAGCTTTAGTTCAGTCTTTTAAATTACACTTTGCATTTCATTAACCTCACTTGCCCATTTGCATGTGTAAAACATGAGCTCTAGCTTGGATAAATTACTTCGCACCTTCGTCAGGTAATAGAAACAGAAGGGTTCATGTTACTGATCTGTGAGAGGGTGCTCAAGGATGCCAGAGAAGAGGTGTGGAAGGAAAGGAAACCAGAACAATTTCTGCTTCACCTGCACTGCCTCAGATTTAACTCACAGCTATCTGGGCTGCATGTTTGGAGTTGCCAACTAGTTCCAGAGCTGTGGGTCATGGAGTCCTCCTTGCACCTAAGGAATTCATTTGGGTTTTTTTTCCCCCAAACACAAATAACTGCTCATCACAGACAACAGACTGAGAAGGAGCAGGATGTGGAGAAAAAGCCCAAGGAATCAGGGGCAGGAGAAGAGTGTTGGTGACCTGCAGGAGGTGACCTGCCAGCACTGCTTGGGGTGGTGATGCTTTTTCACGTCTGAGTTCTGGCCAAGCAATGTCAGCAATGTGCCCCAGCATTGTCAGGAGGAGTAACTTTTGGAATAGCCTGAAATTTGACAGACACCTTGACACGTGGCTCTGCCTGTACACTGTGGTACCTACCCCAGCCAGTGTTCACCAGGGTTTCTGCCTGCAGTCTCAGCAGATACCAAGAGCTGAACAGACCAAAAGTCCAAACTAACTTTCCACCTGTAGGCAGTCTGATATGACCTTAGGACACAGCAAATGATGCAATCAAAGAACAGGAAACCCATTTGGAAAGATGTAGTGTGTGGGAAGAACAGCAGCAGAAACTGTACATGTGCTTAGAGGCTGGAGCTTTGGGTCAATACTGTGGAGACGTCAGAGAAAAGGAGCACACAGGCTGCAGTGTTTTGGCATTTAGCTTTCAAAATACTGGATAATCTCCTGCCCCACCCCTGTTTCTTCTTGTTGTGAGACTACATGGTTGAGAACTGACAATGGTGAAATGAACAATGCCACAATACTCGCTGGCCAGGTCCCCCAAGTGATGGCTACATGTTCTCCTATGGTGGTGACAGACTATCAAAAAGCACACAGAGGAGTCAAACCAAAAACTGGGATTCATGAGAAAGAGCAGTTCTTGAAAAAGCTCTTTTTTTTCAGCCAGATGTGCAGGATAGCTTAACTCCTACCAATCCAGAGACACAGCATATCAGAAAAACACTCACTTGAAAGCTGACTTTCTTGAAAACGTAGCCACTGGTGTCCCAGGGCAGCCACGAGTGCATCGAACTCCAGCTGAAGTCATGGGAAGGGCCAGTGCCCAGGTGGCCAGTGCCCGGCCATCTGGCTCATCGTGAGCTTAGATTCTTCCCACGATTCTTGTAAGAGACCCACGGAAGCCCACCACGAATGTCTGTGCACACACTTACACCTGGTGTTGGGACATATACACTGTGAAATATAAGTCAGATGACCTATAGCTTGGACCAGGACAGGATTTAATTTTAAACCATGTGGTTAGTTTGCTTAGTTCATTGATTTATAATTAGAAATAAGTTACTATTTTACTATTCCTTAAATAGTCTCTCTCAGGAAAAGCTTTCAACAGTTTCTCTTGTGATATTATTCCCTTTAGAGGCCAAGAAAAGGCTAAATTCTTTTAAAAAGTACTTTTTTTACAAAATCCCAAAGTAGATCCAACCCACATTAGTAGTTTCAGTGTTCATAACAGAACAAAATGGAAACTCAGGGATAAATTGCTGCAAATTTCTGAGCAGATGAAATTCAAATCCTAATTTTTGCTCAGGTCAATCACCCTTTTTATATCTGAGTGCTCTGATCTCCATTTAACATTGGTTTAAAACACTTTGTGTTAGCTTTTAAAAAGTAATGTT